GTTCGAATAAAGGCACTTCGTATAATGGTCGACTAAGTTTGATTATTGCAATAAGAACACAGAACAGCCATCAAGCTGTCTGATCTGTGCTAACAGGCTGTTCTAATGACTAACTTTTATATATTGTTTCAACATACAGTTCAAATCATGATTTCACTCCCAGGCACCTAGGCCAAAAAAAGAGAAATAACAGTGAWAAATTAAAATGAAAAGTTTAATTACCCCTAGAAGATCTTGTTCTGTTCAATAACATCCCTATTGACAACCAAAAAAAAAACAGAGTAAAACACTGTAAAGCTGATGTCATTGGGTCAGCTTTTAATCTATCTATTTACAGTATATTTTAATTAAATATATTTAGTCAATAAATATATTTTCATTACATGTATCTATGCAAGGTCCTGTATGAAAAATATGTTCACATCAAATGGTTGAATTGCTAATGTCAGTCAGCTTCATGGTCCTACTGTTAAAAAAATAAGCAATGTTCTTTACCCTTTTCCTGTTCAGATCTAATACCAGTTAATAATAATGACATGTGAATGTTTGAGTGAACTACACAAAACCATCCAGACACAGTTGTGGACTGAMTAGCTGTCCCACAGTTAAAAGAACACAAACCAAGCATGAAGACAGTGGAGTTGTCTGTAGACCTCTGAGACAGGATTGTTTTAAGGCAAAAATTTGTGGAAGGATACAGAAACGTTCTGCTGATTTGAAGGTCCCAGGGAGCTCAGTGGACTTTATCATCTGTAAACGGAAGAAGTTCAGGATGACCAAGACTCTTCCTTGAGTTGACCAGTCAGAGAGGTGACAGAGAGCATAATGGTCATTCTGTCAAAGCTCCAGTGCCACTCTGTGGAGGGAGAAAAACCTTTCAGAAGGACAACCATCTCTTCAGCAATCCACCAATCAGATTTGTATGGTAGACTGGACAAACTGAAACCACTCATTAAAAAGCACATGGCAGACTGATGGTTCCTASAGTTTCTARGGGAGGCAGAGCTTTCAGTTATCAAGCTCCTCTCTTGTGGAACCAACGTTTGTCCGAGAGGCTGACACTCTGTCTACTTTTAAGATTAGACTGACGACTTTGCTTTTAGATAAATCTTATAGTTAGGGTTGGTTTCCTGAGTTATCCCTTAGTTCTGTTGCTACTGCAGGGAGACAAACTGACCACATTACCACACTCTGCTGCTGTTTTTGCTCTCTCAGTTTGTAATTTCTATCAACATGTGTTTTCTTTGTTTTTTTTTGCTATTGAAACTACACCTGGACCAGTCTTGTTCTGTGTGTCCATGTTCTCTTCTCTGTTATCTCAAATCCCAGCTGGTCAAAGCATTTGACTGCCCATCCTGAGTCTGTGTAGACATTGGCCAGAGGTTTGGATGCAAACAGACACCAAAAGCTCAAAAACATAAAATAAAATAAAATAAAATAAAATAAAATAAAAAATGAAAAAACTTCCTTTATAAAAAAATTTCAGGTAAATACAAGAACTTTTCATTTAATCTAATTTCATTTTATTTCATTTTTTACTTGAAAGGACAATGCACATTAATCAAGTCTATTAATATGAATGTGGTGGAATTAGTAAAACAGCTTAAATTCATCTGTTGTTCTAAGCYGATAAAAAATAATAGCAGTTTATAAAACAAAGACAAAACAAATACAAGAATCAATTAAAACAATCAACAAAACACCCAAACATCACACACTGCAAATATTACATAAACCTATTTTCTGAATGAATACATTACTGATGATCTTTAAGTGAAACTTTAAGTTTCTTTTAAAAATGGAACAGCACAGTCTCTGATATGTCCTGGCACTTCATTCCACGTGTTCCTCTAACTGACTTAAAATGGACATATCCTCTAGCTGTTAAATGAATTTTGTTGTGTACTGAGAGTCTCTAGGACTGCAGGAAAGTTTAATTTAGTCTCTCCTGGTGCTGCAAAAATACATTTTAGGGATGGACCGATGTGAAAATTTCAGCCGATAACGATATCCGATATAATTATTTCTGTTATGGCCGATAACCGATATTACACAAACACACAAATTATATTATACACATACGCAAAAACACACTTGGCTCTTTTTTTATATGATAAGTAAACGACCAGACTGCTGACATGGCTCCCTACTTCAGTTATTCCTGGCTGTGCAGCATCAGTATCACTATTATGATCAAACAGATGTTGCTCAACCAACCATCTCTCCTCACAAAACAGAAACACAAAGATAAAAAGTGGGAAATCAATATGGGATGTTATCGGCCCAGTTTTACTTATCGGACCGAAACCAATATTCTAAAAAATTACCAATATCGGCCGATACCGATATCAATACCGATATATCGTGCATCCCTAATACATTTATATTCTGTTTGAGTCCTATTTTTCATCCTGTAGATTTTATCCATTTTCTATGACATTTTCTGAATTATTATGTCAAATTATCTGTGACGGATTTGCCAAATAAGGTCTGGACTTACCAACTACAATTTTTTCATTTTAATTCTCCTCTTGATGTGAGTCAAACTCTAGCTCCAACATGGAAGGCTGGATGGACAAGTCTTACAGCGGGTAAAATAAGTACTGAACACGTCACCATTTTTCTCAGTAAATATATTACTAGAGGTGCTAATG